AAATGCCAAAATGGTTTTGGAGCCTAACTTAGTTGGTAGGAGCCGACAAAATGTTGCATCTGGTCGTACCAACCCTTTTTATTTGGTTCTTTCAGCACTTGTAACTGGAAGAAACCGCTATGAATAGATAACGAAGCGATCGATGTGTCTCACAAAGACGGATTTTATTGCTAAGAAAGTAGATTAGATTAGATAAATTACCATTCTTGTAAACTAACTCAGAATTATTATGCTACAATATAAAATCATAAAATGATGCACTTGCATTTTGCGTTTATTTACTTCCAGAAATATGAACAGCTTGAAGTGTGCCACAAAAATGCAATATAAGCAAATTAATATAAACAACGACGACACACTTCAAGGTGCGGATTATGTAATTTGCAGTATTTTTGTTTGTGGTCAGTTATGCTAAACCAACACAGAAATATGAATATGCAAATGCAAGTGCATGAACAATTGCTATGTTAATAACTGCACATTCAACCAAACATGAATGTGTAAAGCAAGAGTACGGTATTGGGTGAGAGTGTATATTAAATTAAATCGAGTACAAATCGAATGAGTTATACAAGTAAGATAAAGTATACATTTAAACTAGACATTCTCTCCCGCTTTGACCAATCGGTCAACTAACTTGGTTGTCCATGCCTTATTAAACCTGGACTAAAAAATTTGGGGAGCTGGATTTGGAGTTGCCGCATGTTGTGGGATGTCACGGTTTGATGCAGCAGTAATGTGTGCAAATGCCGCCTTTTTAAGGAACACCATACTGCAAGATATGATAATGATTGCGGCTGCGCTGATGACCAATGCTGAGTATGCTATCTTAGAATGACGATTCGAACTATCACGATGTTGAATTTTGGTTGCTTGTATAACCTCCAGCTTGTGTTGAATTGTTGCTAGCTCAGTTAGCTGAGTAGCATACTGGTTGGATAGCGCTGAATGATTGAAGATTACGGTGGAGCTGCCATTGATGAAGTCTTGTTGTGATAGTTCTGACAATTCTCCAAGGCTTGTATATGCTGACATTAATGTTGTCGTTATCGATTTATGGCCTGAAATGTGGACGGAGTCGTGTTGGAGAATGCATTCTGGTTGAATAGTTAATAAACTAGAACTCTTTAAATTGAGAAGGATTATATCTCTGTCACATACAGCAGTTGCTTGCGTGATTGATGACGATGCATAGATCCATTGGTTGTTGTGTGCTAAAGTCATCCACGTTACATATGTTGTGAGCCCTTTTAGCGGGCAATTTGGCAAAGTGAGCTTGTTGAATAGGTTGATTTCACATTTACATTTTTCAGCGTTGAAGTTATGCTGGAGTATATTACGGCATATGAAAGCATCTTGTGTTAAGATGTCGCATGAATTGAGTTGAGAGGGTGAAACCAAAAAATAGCGCCTTCTATTGACGTTTATAGCCAGCAGAGGGCTAGAAAGCTGTATGGCTTCCATGGTGTTGTTTACGTAGTTGGGAACAGGCGTTAATTTATAAATTTTGAATTTATCATGATTGATTAATGAGAACGTTATGTTGAATAACACGTGGCTGCGAGTGAGCCCACCCTTGATCTTCATTAATTTATAGAGTTCCATGAGAGCGTCCTCTGATGCAGATAATTCCAATGATTGAGGCAAGTGACTGTTAATCTGCGTAATCTCGGTTTCGACTTGTGCTGGCGTTAATAATAATGGGTTGATTTTTCCATGGTGGGTATCAATCAGTGCATCCAGAATACATGCTTGTATCCTTTGCAATCTATTGGCTATGAGTGTTAACTGCATAATGCCCAAATTGAAAAGCTGGGTCAATTTGACTTGATATAGCTCGTCATGAAGTGCTTATTCATCCTTGTAGATTTTGATGATTTCAAGTTGCAGATCATCGAAGTTCGACTTCGTGGAGGCCAGTCCCTGTTTTATAAGATTTGCCGTTGAATTGACGACTGATGTTTGATCCCTCAACAATTTTAGTATGAATAAATCGCTCTCTTCTAATTTATTAATTGTTTTTGCCATTTTTTCTGCATATTCGGCATCAAGTACACCGAATGATGAGTGTGCGATTCCAATGAAGTCAATGGCACCTCTTTTCTTGGGTGATTTGTGCAGTAATCTGTTGTCGAGGTCCAAATCAGTTTCCGTGTGTTTAAAATGCTCTATAGCGTGTAAACAACGAGACATTTGGTTTAATTTTTGTGCAGAAGTTCCGTAGATGATTTGTTCTAATGATTAAGAACACCATATTGCTCCAGTAGTTTGAGAGGTCCTAATACACAATTATAATCCATTGACTTGTGGATATGGTAGTAGAGCCTATTTCTTCAAAATGGATTCCAAGCTTAGATCCAAATTCTTGATTGCTTGTTCCGGTTCCAAAGACCATAGGGAGTTTTAGCAACATTGCTAACAGTGTGACCAAAAGATTGGTTGAAAGCATTTTCATTCTTTTAGTTTCTGGCTCAATATCTTGATCTACAGTCTCTTCTGGAGGGACTTGTACATCTGAGTTGTTGTCATCAATGGGGCGCAAAGCGTAGCGATGTACTGGTCGTTTAAGAATTCCAGATGAGGTTTTTACATCAGCAACTCGAATAGATCCATCATTTCCTGGATATACATTTGCAACTCGTCCTAATGGCCATTTCATGGTAAGAATGTTGTCTTCTTTGATGATGACCATATCTCCTGTTGGGAGATGATTTCTTCCATTTATGTCTTTGCTGCAGTTCGTGGAGATATTCGTCAGACCATCTTTTCCAGAATTCGTGTTTTACTTAAGAGACCAGTTCCCATTTTGACTGGAGTGACAGTTTCTGGGAACTGGTTTCAGTATCAACTTGAGTTGTGGGAGCTTCACCAATTAATAAATGTCCAGAGTTATGGCGGAAATATCAGATGGATCATTGGACATAGGTGTCAAGGGACGCAAATTTAAAATTTCTTCTATCTCAATGACTACAGTTTCCAATTCTTCGTAAGTTAATGAAGCTGAGCCTACACTGCTCATTGGAAGATGCTTTGCTGATTTGACGGCTGCTTCCCATAGGCGTCCAAAATGAGGTGCCATAGGGGGAATGAAATGGAATTGTATGTAGGGGGAACTGAACTGCAGGTTGAGGTAACGAGTTTTTTTCCACTGTTGGAAAATATTGAACTAGGGAGTTCTGATAACTTGTTGCTGGCGCCAATAATGTCCGTTGCATTATCACTATAAATGTTCTAACAACCTCCTCTTCGGCTGCTAAATCATTTGAGAGCTCTTATGAAGGCCTCTGTTGAAAGATCATTTACTAGTTCAAAGTGAACTGCCTTTGTAGCGAAACAACAGAACACTGCCACTTATACCTTTGTTGGCTTCTTTCCTCCTATCTTGTAGTGGATCCATAATGGTCCGAAATAATCAACACCTGCATTTATGAATGGTCTTGCCGGTGTTACTCGTGCTTGAGGAAGATTGCCCATTATCTGTGGACATAATTTATGGCGTGCCTTGGTACATTGTATACATTTTTGTACAGTCGCTCTGGCTATTATTTTTCCTTTTATAAGCCAGAACCGTTGCCTAGTTATCCCTAGCACTGCTTGTGGACTGCAGTGCTTATTGTCGTCGTGAACTAACTTGAAAAGCTGTTTAACCAACGCGTCATTGTATGGAAGGAGCATTGAGTGTTTCGTGTCATATGGTAGACCGGGTTCATGTAACAGCCCACCTACTCAAATGATTCCGTTGTCATCAGGAAACGGGGACAGTGTGCAGATTGTATTTTGTTCTGCAATCTCTTGATGGTTCTGTAATTGTTTGATCTCATTTTGGAAGTCAGAGCTCTGAATAGCGTGAATTATGACCATAAGTCCAGCTTCAAGTTCCTTAGTGGTGAGTGATGCGAAGTGAGGTTTTAAAGATCCCCTAGGTGTGGATAGTCTGATGAAGCGGAGTACATAAGCAAGCAGCTTGCCGAATGAACCCTTGTGATTGCTGTTGTAAGTAAGGTCATAATTGCATGTGGTTGTCAGTATCATAATGGAGTCCTTCTTTCGTTCAAGATCGGTAGAAACTTGGAATTGTGGTAGGAATGGTGTCGGCCAAGATTATTCGGCGCCGTGTAGAAATAATGGCCCAAGAAACCATAACTGGCTTTCTGCTAGGGCCCTCGCTGATAATCCCCTTAAGAGAATGTCTGCTGGATTATCCATAGAACTCACGTGTCGCCACTGTTGTGGTAGGGTTAATGATTGAATCTGAGAGATCCTGTTGCCAAAAAATGTTTGAAAGGATAATGATTGTGAATTTATCCAAGACAGCACAATCTCGGAATCAATCCAAAGATAGATTGGTAGATCACTTAATTGCATATCTCTACGTAAACGATATGCAAGTTGTGCAGCCAAGAGAGCTGCACACAATTCTAATCTCGGAAGCGTTTGTTTTTTGAGTGGTGCTACTCGAGATTTTGACTTTTCCGAGGCATCAGCAAAAACGTGCGACTGGATTTTTTCTGGGAGGTTACCCTTGAAGATGTGCCGGGAGATATGTAAGTTGTTTAGCGTGACTAAACTCTCATGGAAGTTGGTCCATGTTGTGACCAATTCTCGTAGTAATTGTTCATCCCATGTCAGTTTTAATTGCCATAAGTGTTGAATGAAAATTTTGCCTTTACCACAAGAGGAGCTAAAAGTCCAAGTGGATCAAACAATTTTGCCATATCAGAGCTTACAGAGTGTTTGGTGGCGTAGTTCATTGGTTCCACCTTTACCTTAATACAAAGGTGGTCAATCTTCGGTATCCAGATGAGACCAATGGTTTTAATCGCTTCCTTAACATCGTTACTGAAGTCAAGGTTGACTTCCCGATGATCTTGTGGGATGTTTTGCAAGAGCTGAGAATGATTAGCTCTCCATTTGCGGCAATTGAATCCATGTTTTGTTAAAATGTGGGTCAGTTGCCGTTGTGATTCTATTGCAGTTGTTAGATTGTTTGATCCTGCAAGCCCGTCGTCCACATAAAAATTGTCCTTTAGTATTTGAGCGCCTAGGGAGTGAGTGGTTTCATTCTCGGTTCCAATCTTCTGAAGGCATCTCGTGGCTAAAAATGGGGCGGCTCGTGTACCATACGTGACTGTATTTAATTGATAATATTTTATGAGTAATGAAGGATCTGTTCTCCGAAGAATGATCTCATATCTCCTATCATCTGGATGTACCATTATTTGTCGGTACATTTTTTGTATGTCTGTAGTGAAGACGAATCTTGGCAATCGGAATCGAACGAGTATAGAGAACAGGTCGCTTTGAACTGTTGGACCAGTGTACATAAGATCGTTGAGTGAATAGCCGGTTGAGGCTTTAGTAGACGCATCAAAAACCGTGCGCAGCTTTGTGGATGTGCTATCTGGTTTCAGCACACAATGATGTGGAACAAATTTATTTCCGTCATGTGTCCATCTGTTCGTATTCTTCCTTGAACTTAATGTATTGTGTTCTAGTGAACGAATCTCCGCCGAGTAGCCGCCGTTCAAGAGCGATGAATCGTCTATGAGCCATTTCTTTTGACTCTCCCAATGTGGATGAGTCTTCACGAAAGGGTGGTTTCACCATAAAACGATCATCGTTAATCGTTTGAATGAAGTGTGCCTCGCATTGTTGTTCATCTTGTGATAGACTCTTGTCACACAGCCCATCGTCATCCATTCTCCATAGGCGTTCGATGACATCATTTAGTGTCTTATGATTGGCAGCCTCTATGTCAGCCGTCGAGATGGCGCATGTCGCTATGCATGTTGAGTTTGGATTTACGAATACCTTGCCGCTGACAATCCAGCCTAGAAAGTTTAAAAATGTTGAAAGGCCGTTGCTTGATTCTATTTTTCCAGTTTACATTAACTCAAAGTAGTATTCTGCACCTAATAGAATATCTACCCTTCCTGGCTGGTAAAAATACGGATTAGCCAAATTTATATTTGGAATCTTCCATCCTGATACATCTAATGAATGATTCAGTTGAGGGGAGGTGATTGATGAAAGAACGAAGGCTTCTAAATCCATGGTAAAGCTGGCATCTCTAAATGATAGTTTGATATTTACCCGCCTTGTTGCCGTTTTCTGACCCTTGCCAATACCATCAATAGGTAGTGATGTTTCACTTGTTGAAGCACCTAATTGCCTGATTACTCATTCGGAAGTTTTCTTGAGAGCCGGAATCCAAAATTTCACGAAATTCTACTGATTTTCCATTGGAAGCAATTATTCTTATTCTTGCTGCTGCTAGTAAGACGTAATTCTTGCACGGTATTGACTTGTCTGCTGCTGCTGGAGTCACGACTGTATTTGATGCACTTGATTCAACCCTAGATGGTTGATTAGTGGGTGATGTTGGTTTTGGGTGAACTTGAATCTTATTTGACGCCGGTTGTGATGCTGGTCTGGATGCTGATCCAGAGGAAGGCTTGGGAGCTTGATTCAGATGTAGCAGTATGTGGTGTTTTTTATTGTATTTGCTGCAGGAGCCCGAAGAGCAATGGTTGGAAGAGTGGTTGGCTTTTAAGCAGTTGAAGCATAGTCTTTGTGATTGAACTTATCTCAATCTATCTGTTTCGGATAGCTGCAGAAATTTGATACATTGGTGTAATGGATGTATCCCTACGCTGCAGTGTTTGCATTTTGTGTTTTCCGTGTCTGCCCGAACAATTGATGAGACTCTCTTGTGAGTGATGGATTTTCCTTATGATTTATCGTCTTCATTGTTTGGAATTGGAATTTCAAAAACGAGAGCAAATCATTGATGC